CGTCGGTCTTGCGCTCAGCGTCGTGCCAGCTTCCTGCGGCAGCATCGCCAAACCCATCCAGGTTGATGGTCGTCATCTGAAGGTCGGCGCTGACCAGGATCGTCTCGCCGTGGCTACGGTAGTCCAGCTCGCTCGAGATGAGCCTGCGCGGGCGAGGTGCAAAGCTATTGTCGGACTGTAGTAGATGTTCACCTCCCGTAGGCGACGACAAGCGGTGCTGCTGCTGCTGCTGCTGCTGGCCTGGCCCGGTTGCAAAGGACTTGATATCGACCGATGGGAGAAGTAGATGGCCAGCTCGCTGAGGTAGAAGCAACAGCTGGAACCGTTTCTCCTCGCCCTCGGCACAGGTGAAGTTTCCACGCCGTCGGCCACCAATAACCCACATGTCTGGGCTGGCTATAATTTCGTATGTAAACTCGATGGACGACTGGGGCTCTTGTTCGGCTACCTCACACCAGCGTCTTGTATGCCGGATTATCAGCTCTGCAGATATCATGTCATCGACGCCCACATGGGTCTGTCCGGGAGAAATATCTTTCAGCAGTAGCCTTGCGGTATGGACAACCTGCACATCCGGAATATCAACAGGGATGGTAATATGCCGAACAGCATTCACCGGTCGGTTGTTTGGTAGAGGTATAGTCTTGTTCGTCTATTTATACCAGGGGTACAAAGGGCTGAATTAGCCTGCGGATCATTGACTACACACCACGGGGAGAAGGCAAGGAAGCAATGGGAACTTACATTATGCCACTCTCTGAGCCACTGCACCAGGTGCGTCTGCGTATCACCATCCATGCTCTCAACGGCCTCTCTCCACTGCATACGTTCGTAACTATACACCTCTATTTCTCTCGTCAGACCAATCGTTTCTAGCGTATGAGCCGTCCAGATAGCACTAAAAGCCGTTTGCAAGAACGGAACCAGGAGCTGCTTCATTCCTGCAAAGGGGCTTGCTTCGACGTCCTTCGTGAACCGGTCTTCTAGAACCGACAGGCATTCTTCGTTCAAACAGGCAAACTCTATTGAGAGGCTCAACGGTCGAGTGGAACCTGAGTCTTTGTCGGGTTGGAAATCGTCCCGGGGCCTGATTTTGTACAACAGTGATGCCGGCTGTTTCGGGAACACATCCATGATCTCACCCTCCTGGACGCTCGTTTGTACATCATATTTGCCAGAGCTCTTCATTTCGCAGCTAAACACGCGAATAGGTATCAGCATCCCAGGGCTGATGCTGAATCTCGAAAACAGCTGCTCATCCTGGAATAAATCCTGAACATTCACACTGACGGGTAAAGTCGATACAACCGAGGATGAGCTGATGTATTCAAATTGCCCCTTGGGAGTCTCATATTCAGCTTCCACTGAAACAGAGAGTGATGTCTGGGTTCCTTCCATGCTGTATGGCACTCGAAGCGTGGCAGTGGATGCCCGTGCAAAGGAAGTGAAACATATTCTGCCTCCCTTTATCTCCTCGCACAGCGTAAGAGCTCCCTCAATGAGTGAGCTTTCCGAAATAATGAGACGTAGCCCGGCAGTTGCTGGCCGCAACCGTAAACAGCCAGTCGAAATATCGTTCCAACCAGAGCTCAACTCAATATCCAGGCTCCGATGCCCAACCAAGTTGATAGATCTCGATTGAGAAACTTTTCCGACAAACGCGTCGACAGCGGGGAAACAGACCACATATGGGCGTTCTGCCTCGGAAGTAAGCGATTTGCTTGTCGTGTCCTGCAGTATATGAGATGCAGCCACTTGGTTGTCATAATCCTGCGTGAACGTAATATTCCCTGCTCGCATCTCAATCCGGTCAACATAGTACTTTCCATGTACCGTTGTCTACAATTGTAAGGAAATATTAGCATTCTTTATACAAAATGGTAGAGTATCAAAACTTACCGAGGAGTCAAGCAAGACTTTCGTCCCCTTCGACTTTACTATAGTCGAGTCGGAGTTTTCCAACCACAGCTCATTGTTTGGTATTTCCAACGCATTAACAAGCCGCATCTTAATGTTGTCAATTTTTATCTTTTCCCCAAGAGCATACCTCAATGACAGCTGTGCCTGGAACCCGTCTCTATCCTGGAAGTGAGAAATACCGGGTTGGACTTGGATATCTCTGAAGAAATCTTTAATAAGAACTGGAAACGTTTTGGAAAGCGACTGAGAGACCGCAAATAGATCCTCAACGTACTCCTCGACTTTGCAGTGCATGCTAGATTGCAATGTCAAAGAATGCTGGATGGTCGAGGAATATATCCCGAGTAATCTCAGAAGAGCATGAACGAACTCGTCCTTGCGATCCAGTTGCTTCAGGCACCGACTGTAAAGCTCTACCATAGTACCTTCTAACGTCTCCCAGCCATTGCTGCGGTAAAAATTGGAGAGCTGGTGAAAGTACGACGCCGCTAAGGCATAGTCACCCGTTTCATACTTCAGCAGTGCAATATCAGCCATCATTATTTCCGCAGACTTGAATCGGTTTGCCGCAATATTGTGACGGAATATTTGGTCTGTAATCCGCTCATAAAGACAGTTAAATTTCTTTTTTGATTCCACTGATAGAGCCAGGCAAGGCGTTTCTACACCCGCTGACGTTGGTACCACTGGAAGTCGTTTCTTGTCCATGGGCTCGTCACTCAACGAAACTTCAGTGAAGCCGTTCTTTTCATTGAGCAGTAATGGCATACTATGCCATCTATTTCCCCATCCTCTCCTTCGGCCAAGTGCTCCCAACTGGCATCTAGCGAGGTGATATAAATCTGCCTGGGCCGCGGCTAACTCTATACCGCCTGCTTTTTGTGGTGCGGACATGATGGTCCCCAATGGGTTTAAGGCTAATCCGGAGCTGGGTCTTGAAGTAGGGGACATCAATGAACTAGTTCGCTTAGGAACCCCTGGCCTTGCTCCCGTGGCGAAGCTCGTAAGAACAGCTGCATCAACCAGGTCCTTGCTCGTCCTTAGGGAAACTTTGGGAATCTCAAGGCTCTTAGTAGACGTTTGAATAAGAACTTGAGAAACAGCTGCGTAAGCCCAGGACGAAACGATGTTTGTGATAACATCTTCCTTCCTAGAAGGATCCGGAGCTTGTTCTAACTGAGCCAATCCAGTCTCGACATCTTTCCGCAAAGTCCGGCAAGCAAGGGTAATAAACTCGCTAGCTCTCTCACAGATCTCGGCGAGAAGGGTCAAGTTATGCTTCTCCGCATTCTTTTGGGAGCCACTTTGACGATTTGATGGAGGTGACCGCGCAGCTTTGAGGAGCAGTAGTAGCTGCCTCGAAAAGATATAGACACGAAAATCAAAGACAGATATGTTATTTGCAAGAATCATATCTCTGTATGGTTTTTGTTGGGGCTGCAGCGGAAAAATATCTTGATCCAGTGCAATGGGGTTTGAGAAAAGCTCGTCATGGTCTCCATCATTGTCATCTTCACCCTCGTCCCCATCCTCATCCTCGGATGAACTGGATGCTTCTGCCTTTTCTGACGACTCTGCGGCCAGAGCAGCCTCGGCTTTCGATCTGAGATCTTTACTGTAATTTAGAAATGTGCCTCCGTGCTGGTCTCCCGTGCCCGAAATTTGATCTCGCAGTGCCGAATCCAGTCCGACAGCAAGCTCATCGTATCCTATAAGAGCATCCTCGAAGAGTCCAACGTTCTCAAGGCCAAGAGAAAGACCTTCTTTTAGTATAAAGAAAGTACAGAAGTTCCAGCCCGGCAGACTTCTCTGGGAGTCCTTCTCACGGATATCAGCCTCATATTGACCCACGCGCAAATCAAAGGATGTGAGAATAAAATATTTCAGCTTCGCGACAAGATCATCCAATTGCGCCGTTAGTTCAGGCTGTTTCTTATCCGCATCCGCTTTTGGAATTCTCAGCTGCGCAACCCGGTCAACTGCAGTTTTTGAGGATCCGTTGAAATCGGCCTTTACTTTCTCAAGGACCGAAGTCGAGCCTCTACCAGGCCATTTTGATGGTGCGGCCTTCTCTGTCACTTCAGGGCTAGGTGCAGTCGATGGTATGACGTGAAGAATCAACCATTCGAAGGCATCGTGATTATCAGGTCCAGTTGGCGCAGCGGATGTCCTAGTTTTTATCCATTCTCGTAACGTCTTTCTAGAGGTCGTTTTATACGTCTCGTTATCATCACATCGTAACAAATATATCTTTAAATATGGCGTCTGTAATAGTCCAGGTATCTGGTGTCTTCTTTGCGATACCGCTCCGCTTGCGCCATCGCTGAGTCGCTTCTGGTCATCTGCTACCGTGTGGGCGGGTTTGAAATCGATTTGCAGGGAGTCAATCGAGCGGACTGGCCGAGTCGAAGACTTCCAGTGGAGGTTTCGGAGGGGAAGGACTTGGGATAGCAGCGGCTTGACTTGAGGAAACAGGCCGAATGGGTCGGTATACTCGACTGCAAGGATAAGGAGTAAGTTATCAGGCTTCCGCATAGAGCTTCAGTACTATTGCATACCGGTTACATTATTCGAGTTTAAGTGAGGGGTGGCGTCCATGACGACCAGAGCTTCACCAGTAACAGGAGTAGCATATTATTCCGCACTCATCAAGCGTCCTGCTCTGCGTTGTGAGGGCGGCTTTGGGCGTTTTGCGCTGGCGAGGTCAAGTTTAGCCAAACGGCGGATAGAGGACCATGTCTTGGCGTTGCTTTTAAGCCAACCTCCAGCCTTTTTTGCAAACAACCTAGGGGGGATCAACATTCAACATGGTAAGATGTCAATATTCTATTAAAAATGTACTCTGTAGCTACCCTAACAAATGTGAGACTTCAGAAGAAGAAAACCTAGCGGGAAAATAACCGCCCCAATTTCCACAAGGAACAAATGTACAATCGGAGACTTGAGTCTGTCTCAACTCGCAAACCCGTAACAGCAAAACAAAACCCAGGTCGCCCTCCTGAAATACAAACACATGAAGTCAAGCGCTCAAATAAAGTAAATGACAAAGGAACAAAGGTACGCTACAGAATAATTCTGCACTAAGTAGCTAGAAGATTCCGGTTGGGGACCGGCGGGTTGACATGAGACATTACGAGCTCATATCCGTAAGAAACAGCTTGCCAGATATCAGGAATGAGGTTTTTCAGCATCGCCGCAACAATAATTATCAGGAGAGGAATCTAGAAAGAGGAATATTAGCTATGTTACAAGGAAGAGTATAAAGCAATGTTTTAAATAACTTACCCAAATGACAAAGAGATTACGATCACTGCGGAATCTCTTCATCTTTTGTGCGTGTGCCTTTCTGAGCTGATCCTGGTGTACTTTTGAGATATTCCTGCTGCCTATAGTCACGTCACCAAACTCCTCCTTGGAGGACGAAGCATGAGAATGTGATGAGGCTTCTGCTTCCGCAAAGTGTTGGTCTGCCGCGGCATCCAGAGCAGCTTCGACCATAGACGACTTCTTGTCAGCGTAGCCAGAGTCGGTTTCATGAGGGTATAGCTCCTCATATGCCGGTGGTGAGGAATTCCCAGTTAATCTGCCCCAGCCGTCCTTCATGATATTGGTAGACCAGGCCGATGTCGGCCTGTGTGGAACAAGGGAGCTGATACGTTGGATCATTGGGTGAGTTTGGTAGTCTGGAAGAGTTGGAATCTGGGGGAGTGTCGGTATCTGAGGGAGGGTGGGCATTTGAGGTAGTGTAGGCAATGCCGGGAGGTTTGGCAGATTAGGAAGGTTAGGAAGGTTGGGGAATGCTCGGCTGACGTTTTGCTGGAACTGGTTGATTTGAGCTGCCAGCTGATCTCGCCATGCAACCAATGCCACAGGAGGCGATGGGTTGCGGGCCATGCCAGCGACAACATCAGCCTCGGGAGAAGCGAGAGTAGATGTTTGGGAAATGCTAGCTTTCCTAGGAATCGAGAAATATTGTTTCTTTTCCTTGCGGGATTCTGATTTGGTGCGTTTGGGCTGTGCATATAGTAACTCTGGTACATCAGACGTACGTCCACTGTCTGAATCATCAGTGGATTCTTCTTCAGTTTCAGGTGCATCGCTCGAGGACGTTGGCTCCCAGAATCCGTCGAGAGAACCAGAGCTTGGTCGTCGGCGCAAGGGAGAAGTCGATCCCACGCTTCTTGAGCGGTAGTGATTGGTAGAAGCAATTACGGCACGGTGTGTTTCCAGGGTGGTTGCAAGGTCAGCAGGAGTGAAGCCGCGCAGATTAGGCGCTGTGATATTGGCACCAGCGAGTCGAAGACGATGGACAATATGCGTGTGCCCACTGAGAGCGGCCAAATGCAACGGGGTGTTATGGTTCTTGTCCTGAACATCAGGGTTAGCCCCCCGGGCAAGCAAGCCCGCCACGAACCTAGTCAACCCTAGTGAAGCAGCAAGGTGGAGGAGAGTCTGTCCAGATGGTGAACGAGAGTTATATTTTGTAGAGCCAGGATTGCCATCCAAGTCCATGAACTCAAGATACACCAGCATCTTTGCGTCGGTGTCTGTGATGTTCGCGGTCTGGTTGTTGGCTGGGGCTTGTCGTTGCTGGCCTCCAGAACTGCCATCACCCTGGAAATTGTTTTGAAGATTCCACAAACTATTCCCGTTGCCCCCCATGATTTGCTGTGCAGTTTGATAGGCATCAGCAGGGTTATTAAGCTTCTGGCCTAGTATCCCAAGCGCAATTCTATACATTTGCAGCTCGCGGTCATCCACATAACGGAAGAAGATTTGTGGTTTCGGGATTATGGGCTGTCCTGGCTGCTGTTGTCCCAATCGAGGATGCTCATGCTTGAAGACAACTGGGACAGTTCCTGGCTTAACCGAAGGCGGAGTAAGACAGTTCAAACATTTCTCGCCCCAGAAAGTAGTGGTGGTAGCTAATGTATCACCGAAAACAACCTCCATACCCGGGTAGAAGCCACTACCGAGGAGAGTGACCTCGCTTCCACCGGTAGTTGAGCCCTCAGCTGGGACAAGTTTATGAATCATTGAGGGTACCTGTGGTGGAGGAAGCCCCGTCGGCACGCTCCAAGAGTGGTTTTGAGTTCCTGTGCTAGACAAGCCCGTAACTTGGTCCTGAGACCTACTGCGAGGGGAACCGGGGCGGCTTGGGTGAGTGGAATTCGGTGCAGATATCAAAGAAGATTGTCCCATGTTGTCCATTGGGTTAGTGGTGTCGAGTGGACTAAAGAACATCCCGTCATTATTGTTTGGTGTGGGTGGCCCATTTATAAACTGTGGATTGAGCATCGCAGGTGTGACATAGGCCTTATCTGAGCTTCCATTGGCAGATGGAAGACTTGAAGGTAAGGGAGAGTTGCTAGCAGATGGTGATGTTCTCTGGGTCTCAATTCGTGACATGGTCAATCCTGAAGGAACTTTCCCAGATCCGCTCTGCTTCCGTCGCTTAGCAAGAGGGCCAGTACCGTCAGAAGGAGATGCTTGGCGAGAGAGGTTCCGAGGGGTAGTGATAGGAGCAGCTGCAGTTGTACTATTATTCTGTGACTGATTTGAGGAAACGGGAGTTAACGGGTATTGTCGATTTCGGAGTGCTTGCAGATCGTTGGCGGAAGGAGACATTTTATAGGGCACGGAATGCACGAAAGGTTTCGACAGATCGATCCCGGGGTTCCCAGGAAACATCGCCGCAGGTGGGAACTGGGGGTCTGTTACTGTAGAATTGGGAGCTGTGGCATAGTTTGCCGGCGCATGTGTCTTATGGTCATCAGTGATCATGATTGAATTGGTAATTGCTTGAGCAATTGGGTTGTCCATGTAGTCAAAGATGGTAAAAAGAACCCTAAGAATTCAACTTAGTACATTGTGGTATAATAAGACAATAAAAAAAAAAAAAAAAAAGACCCACGCTGAATGCAATAAACTTACTGGAAGCCCACTTTCTCGTTCTGATGTCTGCAGTAGCACGCTATTCTCATTGGCAACTCTACTTGCATTGCACCGAGGGGCGCAATGGGCAGTGAAGGATCACAGTTTGTCGAGTTAGGGGTTCTAGGAGGATCTGTCCAATCCTTGATCTCTGTGGTGTTGAAAACAATAACCCGTTTATCCTCGTCTCTTTGGAACAATTCATCTTCTTCGGGTTTCCGTTGTTTTTTCCGGGACGCACGCTTTCGTTCTCTTTGGATGCAGCCAGCACATATTTTGACTTCCGCCCCTCCCAGTGGAAGGTCTTCGTCGCCCTGGCTTTCCTCGGAGTCCTTGGGAGACTTTGAACTGACATCCTCACCCCGGGCTCTTGCAAAGGCCCTCTCCCGCTTTTTCTTGTCCTGGATGGCACTTGTGCATAGTACACTGGCGCGGAGTTCTAGGATATCTGGAGACCGTTTGATATCAGGCTTGGCGAGGAACTTTGGCTTGGAGATGGCATGGCTTGGAAGGCGCAGTTTCTTAACTCCAGGCGGCATCGGGTAGAGAGTTAACTTGATAGGGATTTGCGTTTCGACGCGAGACTTGAGCGAGGTGGGATGGACAATCAGGCGGGGGCGAATATAGTTCTCCATGCTGATGTTTGGGTGGAACATGGCTGTGTTGCGGTCATTCAGAGGGAAGACCACCCCGGGAGTGCACTTTAGCGATTCGAAGGCCTGGCGCGGTGACCTAAACGTAGAGGTCGGAGATAATGTCGCTGAAAGCGGCGAGCCACTGTTCATACCGATCCCACCGAAGGCTTCTTCCAGAGCTGACTGTGAGCCTCGACTATCCCAAAGCCCCTGCCCGGCGTAAAGCGGTGTAGAGTCACCAGGACTTTGGAACACAAACGGGTTTACGACAGCCGACTGCTACAGAGAAGAGTTAGCATCTTTTGCTTGGGGGGGATATAATGATAATGTTCGGTCGGGAATACAATATATAACGGGAGGGTACTGACTTGTTGCGATGAGCCTGCATCACTGGAGGATCCGGTAAAGGTGGAGGAAGAAGGAGTGCGGAACGACTGTTTGAAAACGGTTGGTTTACTCTTTTCAGTATTGAGCTCCATCTTGAGGGGGCTGGGACTGCTGGCAGCGCTATCAAAGTCAAAGGCCGAGGCCATCGCCTTGTTGCTGGACTCAACATCATGCTCCATGGAGTCATCCCTGGTCAAAAGGCCGCCGCTCTCCTGGCCGAGAAAAGAAGCACCTTCGTCGCCCAGGGAGAGCTGGTCGGCGTTTGGCCAGCCCGGAATATATCGTTCGGTTGCGGCGCTGTCTGGACTGAAGAGTCCGGAGTGGTTGGAGGCCAGCGAGGCATTCCGCAGATGGCCAGTAGGCGAATCCATCGAGGAGCTGTGGCTGGAATCTTCTGGAGAGTCTGATCGAGTGTCTGACGGGGTTGAGCCCGCTGGTGGAACGTCATTCTGAGACTTGTTTGGCATCTCGGAAGGGGACAAGCACGACATGGCGTCGGAAAGCTGGGGAGCACTGGACGGCCGGAAGAACATGTCTTCAAAGTCACGGCCCAGGCTGGGAGTCGAGGCATTGAGCACTGAAGGGTCGAAGCACAGAGTGTCTCTGTCGTCCATGATATTGTCCATATCTCCGTCCATGATGATGGGCTCCATCTCTCCGACCCTTGGCTGGATCGATCGCGACCAGGCCCCCGTTTATCAGAAAAAGAGAGAGAGAAAAGAGAGAGAGAGAGAAAGCTTTTGACTCAACAGGGAAAGTAAACAAGCGATGGGAGTACTCCGTACACCCTTTTCCTCGCGTGCACTCTCAGCCTCGAGCTTGCAGTATGGTTGTGGTCGTCTCGTCTCGTCTCGTCTCGTCTCGTCTCGTCTCAGGGGCCGCTGCTCTCACGACAATGCGGGTGCCTGGACGACTGACTAGCTGGCCGAGCACGCTGAGCAAACGGGGATGCGCCTGTCTAACACGGGCCCGGGTCAGGCAGCGAGAGGCCCCCTCGGTGGGAGCAGGCAGGCAGGCAGGAGAGGTTTATCGAGAGGCACAGGCAGCGTCGTCAGGTCGGGCGGGAGGGCTCGTATGGACGAGATCGAAATCCAAGGGATGGCCGTCGCCTTTTTTTTGTGTCGGTGAGCTTCTTCGTCTTCGTCTTCGTCTTCGTCTGCGACTTTCTTCTTCCCCAGCCCGCAGCGAGCGGCAAGCCACAACGACAGCTTGGCGCGCTTCTTCGCCAGCCAAAAACCCTCCCCTGCGCAGTCCAAAAGGGCTTCAGGCTCTCTCAGGCGCGCGCACGGCGAGGACTCAGCAGCAGTGGGAATCCCTTGCAGCAGCCGACTCTCCGCCGTTTGAGCTGAGCTGCTCGCTGAAACGTCTTTTTTTTCCTTCCCTTTCCCTTCTCGTTGTTGTTTCTTTCTTGCTTTTCAACGACCAAAAAAAAAAAAAAAAAAAAACAAAAAAAAANNNNCGAAAAAAAGACGAAACGCTGGCTGGTGAGGGCGCTAAGCCTGTTTGGGACATGCCGCAGGAGCGACTTTTAGGGACAAAAAAGGACGAGAAAGACAGCAGAGACAGACAAGAATCTAACAGACAGCGAGGTGGAGACGGCGTTATATCTGGCGGCTGGCGAGCCTGGCTAGCTGGCTAACGGCTTATAAAGTGCGTGTGGTGCGAGTCTACCTACAGGAACAGCGGCTTCGGCCCGGCTGAGGGACCTTCCTGGGGACTCGAGATACCTAGATACCTCTAACTAATGGTTATTGAACCAGCAGCAGCAGCCAGGCGATGGTGATGGTGAAGGCGACGGCCGGGTGCAGCTACGTGTTTAGGGAGGAGGGAGGGAGGATGGGCCAGGGAATGGCTCCCTCCATCTGCTCAGCCTGATCAACGGGGCCTGCTTCGTTATACCCCCCTATTATATTTACTCCCTCTATACCGCGTGTCTTATGGGCTCCCTGGATAAGCAGAGAGACGGAGACAGCCACTCAGCGTTGCCTGGCCTTATGGAGTTGCTTACGGGTCCTAAGAATAGGCGCTAGAGCGTTGTCTAGTAGGCTGCTCAGCTACCGGATGTCTCTCGGTGCTGGTATTGCCCCGGGCGCCTACGGAGCCTACCGGTGGAATATAATTAATAGCTACCTGTCTGCATCTATAGACTGGCAGGACTGGACTTCTGCAGACTGTGCATGTGTCTGCATTATTGTCTGCATTGTCTGCATTTTCTGCAACAATGGAGAACTTGCATACATGGAGCCCACAGTGTGGGAACGGTTCGAATAAAGGGCAGCCAACAACGCCGAATATGCAGATTTTTCAATATAGAAGCAATGGATGCTCCTCGGATGCCACACAGGGTTCTCTTCTGTTCCTTCATGTCTCCCTTCCTTCGACCAGGAGCCGGGACCAGACACGAATAGATGAACGAGAGGTTAAAAACAGTCCGACGCTACGAGCTATTCGCTGGCCGGCGATTGGAGGATTGTTCGCTTGTCATTTTGGCACCTTGCTTCCAGGGTGACACTCGACGGTTCTGGTTCTTCAGCTCAAAAAG